GGATTTAAATTATTTACTAACTGTAACCTTTGAAATATTTCAGGGTCATTTTCTTTAAATTCATCATTAAATTGTTCATTTTGCAAATTTTTATTCCATTTGAAATCAAAAATTTGACACATTGCATCATCATCGAAAGTAGGTATTGCAATTATCATTATTTTTAATTTCAACGCCTTCTTTATTAAAATTTGTTTTACAGCCATTTTTAATCGCATGGTATTAGGATTATTATTTAATCCGACTCTTTGTCTAATTTGACAAAATAAAATTTCCAAATGTTTTAGGAAAAATTTATACTTCAAGAGGTAGTTAAATATTGGAGATTCATTTGTGAATATTGACCTGGCAATGCTAAAAAGATACTTTACAGCAATAGCGAATGGGGTACAGTCAATCTGTCGTCTGAAATTGGTCGTTAGGTGAATTGGTCGTTTGGTAAATTAGTCGTTTTCAATATAATATGTATTTTATGTAAAAAAAATATTTGGTCATAATTTTTAACTTAATGTATGTGACAATAATTATAAGTTTTAAAAAATAATATATGTGACAATAATTATAAGTTTTAAAAAATAATATGTGATAATAATTATAAGTTATGAGCTATCCCGGATATATAGGTATTCATCAAATGTTCTATTATTAAACGTTTTACATATTGTATTTATCCTCTCAGCGGTGTCATTATATTTCTTTCGTTTTCTAGGGGTTTCTGCTCCAGTGCAATATTGGACCATTTACAGACGGTTTAGTTTTTCTTCTTTTTGTAGGGCTCTTATAAATTTCCAAATGCTAGGGTAAATAGCATTCAATATGGATGAAAAACTATTATGCCATCCCTCTACCGAATTATTAGTTTTTGGAAGGTTATATTAATATACATGTATATGAATATACATCAACATAGCAATTCCAAATTGTAATTGAACATTTTGGATTTTTCCTTTTCCCTTTCCTGTCCTTTTTACCAACCCGCGTTTCTTCAAAATAGTCAAGTAATCTCGATAAATCAGATTCCAGTTCTCGGTAAAAAGGAGTGTCAACTAAATATTCAAAATATCTAACTACATAATCAACCGGAACATATGCCAAGGCCTTTTATTTTTTTATTTCAAAAGCGAAAGTAGAATCTTCTTTATATTGTTTTGATAGACCACATTCTTGAATGTATCTCCAGACAGATTGCGCAAAGTGAAAATGACAACCACGAATTTTGATATCACTGAATTCTTTTTTGAAAGCAGTCATTGCACCAATTTCAAAATCTAACATGACCGTTTTTGGTTTTAAGTTGCAGTGTAATTTTTTCACAGTCAACTGAAATTTTTAAACACAGTATACACTATAGAAGAAACGAAACATTATTATTTGTATTCCAGATACAGAACATCCGATAATAGTTGTTATCGTAATATAAATTATAATATAGCTGTAATAATGCTAGTTGTACATTTGTACACGCTGTTATTTAACTTATTATCGCAAAACGTTTTATACCTAATGATTATTGTCAATTTGTACCTACATAACGTTTTTAACCAGTACTCGCATTTCGCGACGAAAATATACTACGACTATTTTACCAAACAACGAATTTACAAAACGACCAATTTCAGACGGCAAATTTTACCACGACCAATTGACATAGACTCATAGCAAATACATGAATAAATGTTTTTTTACCAGTCGTGTGTAAAAGATGGTCATCAAACTTTAAACTATATAAGTACTTGATTAATGGTATTATCTTATTTTCAAGAGCAACAATGTTTTGTTTGGTAATTAGAGACATGACATTTTTGGAATATGTATTTTTAGAATTTAAAAAATAAAATAGCTGATCAATTTCTGATCAGTATTTTTCTGTTGCATCTATATTTTAAAATGAAGAAACATTTGGTTGTTTCAACAACTGTAGTGAATCTGCAGTAGATGATGATAGAGTCTGAGCAGCATTGGAGACTTTCATATTATTATTATGATAGTTTATATGGGAATCAGAGAGCTTATTTGTAAATTTGATATATTATGGCCCCAACGTATATAAAACCAAGATCTGATTTTAGAACTTATCCAGTATATTAAGAGCAAGTTTCAAGTTGTGGCAAGCGTCTAGTACAAAATATACTTTTTCTTCAATGGTAGCTGGGTATGGAAACCAACATTTTATTTCACTGTAGTTTTTTCCGAGCTTACAACCTGATATTTTCATTGTGGAAATGTTAGTGTGTGCATCATCACATGTGATGCCCTATATGATTAAACCAAATTCATGAGAAAGCTATAAAATTGACTTTAAAATGTCCGCTTGGGCTGTTGCAGTAATTTTATTTTGGAGAACATAACCAATTGGAAATGTCCATCTATAAGCTGACTTATAAGCATAAAAAATAAAGCTTCAGTTCCTTCAGTGTTAGTTCCTCCCAATTGCAGTTCATTACCAAAATCACAATAACGAATGTACTTGTTATGTTTATCACTCCATAATATACATAAACGTAAAAATTTTAAACTGAGAATTTCTACAAATATGCAGGAATATTAGCTATAGCACTTTTCTTTATAAATTAATTAATAACGAGATTGATGATTCATTTTTATTCAACCAGATTAATTTTAATAGTTAATAAATCAAGTAGGTATATAAATACACAAGGGTTATATAAAATACAATTAATTTACATTCTATTTTATAATCTTGTAAAATACTTTTAAAATAGTATTTCAATTTTAAATATATATGTACATAAAAAGATTATAATTATAAATGAAATAATACAATCAAATATACAATACAACCACCTAAAGATAGTAGACACTTCCATCAACACAAGTATAAGACTCGCCTTGGGAGCTTTCCGTTCAAGTCCCATTGAAAGCATCAGAAATCTGGCTTTTGAACCCCCTCCCGATTTAGGAAGAATAGAAAAATCCCTTTTGTACGCAGCAAACATTGCAAGAAACCCAGACAATCCTGCAAACAAACATATAAAAGATTCCTCAAGTTACGCCAAAGAATATGAAGTAGACCTAAGCTCAATAATCAAAGTCCAGCCTTACACTTTCCCCCCGTGAAACACCAGCTTCGACATCAATCTAGAGTTGACAAAATTCAAGAAAGAAACCACACTTCCAATAACGTATAAAAACCACCTACATGAAATTCTTCAAAATTACAAAGACGATAACCTTTATTTTACAGACGCCTCCAAATCAGAAGAAGGGGTGGGCATAGCAATTATTAGCGTATGCCTCACCTCCTTTTTTAAGCTCCCCGAATGTTGCTCCATTTACACTGCTGAAGCCATAGCAATCCTGAAGACAGTGGAACTCATAATTGAGCAGGGGAACGCTCGCAAAAACAATTTAATACTCTCAGACTCCCTGAGCACTCTCCAAAGTCTAAAAAACACAACGAACACAACAGACATAGCAAGGATCATACAACAACAAATAAGCCTTTCAAAATCCCAGGGAACAAACATAGCCCTCATCTGGATTCCTGGTCATAGTAACATAGAAGGGAATGAAAAAGCAGACGAATACACAAAAAAAGCAGCAACATCACCAGACGCCCAAAAATTAAATATAACAACATACGCAGATTTAAAAAACCTAATCAAGGATCGCATACAACTAAAATGGAAAATACACTGGCATAAACAGAATACCAAGCTAAGAAGAATAAAGAACACAATTTTCGACTGGCCAAACTTCCCTCTGAATAGAAGGGATAAGGTAGTTATAAACAGACTCCGCATTGGCCACACCCGACTTACACATGGATACCTCATGGACAGAGGAGAAAAACCACAGTGCACTTCTTGTGGAACCGAACTCTCGGTCAAACATGTAATCACCGAATGCCTTCAATACACAGATGAACACAGAAACTGCCACATACCCAACACACTTGATGCAGCCCTCGGACCAGACGCAGAGACCACCATACAAGTCCTCAAATTCTTAACCAAAACTAATCTGTATAATAAAATTTAAGTCAAACTTTAAAAAAAAATGTAATTGTAAACATTATTGTAACTAATGGCCTTTGTCGCCGATGTTAATTAAGATCAATAAAAAAAAATAAATAAATAAAAAATAATACAATGATTACATAAAACTATATAATTATTTGTTTTTCAAATAGAAAAAACAGTATTTACAATACTTTCCAAATACTTAATTTAAAAAATATATAAATATACATAATAAGATTATATAGTTATAAATTATATAGTACAATGATTACATTAAATAACATTATTATTTATTTACTAAACATAAGTGTTAACTTATTATAATATTATTTTTTATTATAAATTATAAAAATTGATATATATTTAATTTATTCTATAACTGTTCAGGAGAAGTTTGTAAAGATAATAATCAAACAACCGAAGCTGCTCCACAGGTAGACATAAAGTAAAAGGATATACCACCAATCATTAAATATCAAAATACAACTTATGAGTTACGAGGTGTATGTACTATGTGCCTACCGAAGAGGACTAAGCCGGTTGCGTACTTCGATAGGACACTATAAATCATGGTGTAAAAGAGGACCCAGAATATGGGAAATGTATGACGATCTCAAGTCTAAATTATCAAGGGTTAAAGAAGAAACTGAGGTAGCCGGTGAACTTGTCATTTATACCATATAACTAAAAAATTTACTGTTCGAACGCAGATTCAATATCGCGCAACGCTCAGATGAGCGATAATCCACCAGAGACAGCGCAACGGTCGCCGTAGCTTCTAGAGACGGCTTACCACCTAATATTATATTTTTCTCCATCATTATTTTAGTACCTGTTATACCAGGGGTGGCCAACCTTTTTTTATATTGTGCCAAATAATGTATACAAATTTGAGAATGTGCCTTAAAAAATATTTATTTATTTACAATTTACAAAGTTTACATAAATATAAATTTTAGATTTTTTTCATAGGTACTATTTTTATTACAGTTCAATTGCAATGTTTTTTTTTAATGATTAGGTATGTTGAATTTGCTTCATGGATATTATCTCTTCATAATTTGGTTTAAGTTTAGTTGAGGATAGAAGCATCAAATTTTTCAAATGAGAATTTGTTAGTTTGGTTCTATACTTATTTTTAATGAAAGTCATCCGCGAAAAACTTTTCTCACATATATATGTAGAGCCAAATCTGCAAACCAATTTCAACGCTACATCATGTAATTCTGGAAAATCTTCCTCGGGTAGGCATTTCCAAAATTCTATTATCTCAGATGCCTCTTTATATTTGCATTTTAAAACTGTTGAACTTTGAAGTTCAATAATTTCCAATTGCATATTAGGGTTATATTTTTTTAGATCGTGTGTCTCTATGATAAATGGATTAATAAATAAGTTAATTTAACCTGAAGTTCCTGGTTTATTAGATGCCATTTCACGATCACACACACACAACGACACAAACTACTTGTTAACGCACGGTCACGGCGATTCTAATACGACTAACTTTATTGTAGTAATCTAGTACACACGTACCGTAACAATTCTCTTATTGGAATAATAATCGGAAAATTCCACTGCGATAATATAATTTAATTTAATAATACTTATTTTTAAAAATTATATATTATTTTATTTGACTCTAGTGTGCCATTCCATAACAACAAATGTGCCACAAATGGCACGCGTTTGGCCATCCATGTGTTATACCATGCATCGGTATTGCCCCATTACAAATCGATTTTGCCCCAGTGTCGGACAAAACCGATACAATTTTAAAAATAGTTAATGGCTTGTTAAAAATTAAATACGAATGATATACCTATATTGATACTATATTTTAAACAATAAGTTACTTAATTCAACTGTGAAAATAGTTGAGCTCTGCATGGTCTGTATTTTTATGGACCAGACCGGACCAGTTAATTTAATTAAGACTGGACTGGACTATCATTAAAATAATTTAACTGGACCGAGACTAGAATGATTTATTTTAAACTGTTGAAAAAGACTGAGACTGACTGTTTAAAAAAAAAATATTTTTATCGGGACCAAAATCACATTAATTACATTTTAAAAAAAATGTCAGTAGAATCAAGATCGGTTGGAACGGACCGATTTTACTTTTACTTCTTAGAACACTACCAAGACTGGATTCAATTGAAACATTTGAAACAGACTAATGCCGGGGTGCACAAAAATGTTAGTAATTTAATGGTTCAATAAAATTTCATGTTTAAAGGACCAGCTAACTATAATGTAAAATGTTTAGTGATTGTTCATGAACCTCGATATGAGAATATTAACATTTTTAAAGACATTATAAATCAAATAAAAACTATAATGTTTAGTTTTAACAAAATATGAATTAAGGAAATTATAGGGTTATCTTATTTTTAAAAAGAATATATTATTAATATAGTTGAAATTTGTTTTTAAGAATAATTACTTTAATTTTTTTAATTTAGTAGTATTTCGTACCATTTTGTAGGTGCATCTACGATCTACCCTACAATTTATAGAACACTTATATTTATAAAAAATACAGAATAACTGTACTAATATAGTTAGTATGTATAAAATAATAAAATGTATTGTTATATGTACCTATAATATGGGAAAATAAGTACAACTTAATTTATTTTAACCATTTATTATAATAGTCACAAAAAAAAAATGTTTCAATGTTTCATATTTCAAATTAAAATATACAAAATGTATATGCTAGAAAAATTATGGATTTTACTGTGCCGCACCTAGGTACTATAAGATACGTTTTTTAGCTAAATTCTTTATATTTAAAATAAAATAAATGTGAAAATAATTAATATTCAAATAATTATTAGTTGATCTTGAAAGTTTAATTAAAAATAATAATAATAAAATTTATTTTTTATTTTTAAAATGGTTATTTAAGAACAAAATCGAATCTACACTTGTACCACCCAGACAACTTGCTTGAACGACGCTCCTCGATTAGTCTTCCAACAATGCTATAAGAGCACTGCTAGCATTACTAGCCGGAATAGCCAAAATTAGTCGTGCCAATTCTCTTGGAATGTGGAAAATGTGGAAAATTGAAAAATATGATTTTGACGCTTCCAAAAATCCAACAAATTTTCGTCGATAACTTCAAACTTTTCTTTTTTAAAATTTACGCCTATTGTCTGATTCTTCATTTAAAGATATCACACATTTTTTAAATGCATGAAATATAAATACATGCAATACATAATCATAAATAATCATAGTTACAAATATTGTATTCAGTATAATTTATAGACAAATACTAAAAAGAAAATTATTTTATTTTATCAATTCTTCAGTATAGGTGTAATAAAAACAAACACAAGTTAAAAATTAAAGAAAAAGTATAATTTAGGTACTCATCAAAACATAAAAATAAACTTAAGACTGTGGGAAAATAAAAAGTATATTTTACTCTTAATAATAAAAAATGTAAATTAAAAAAAAATAATAATTACACTGTAAGGTATCAAAACAGAGTTTAAATGTCTAATATTTGTATTGACTATTAACCAATTAAAATAAAATAAGAAACTCACAAGACTGTAAAGTGTAGAGGTAGACACAACTACAACAGCACAACACAACATTACACGATTATCACACAAATGATAATAATATTATGACGTATCGATGTATCATCAGAGGTTAAAACGGCATAGGTACATTAAAAATAGTTTTTCGAAAAAATAATATGTCCGGACATATTCATTTTTTATAAATAAGATTATCAAATTCAATATCATCTTCAACATTACAAATCCAAAATTGAATGAATTGTTTTTCACTAAAGTAATAAGACCGGACTTGTTTTTTTTTTCCGTTTAATTTTTATATCATGTTAAAATATTTATTGTATGTCACATAAATTTAGGAGTTGTCATATGTGTGCACTAAAAAAACCTATCTTGAGCTAAAAACACAAAAATTAAAGTATAAATAAAACATGTTTTAATTATTATGATATTGACTTATAACATTTTTCCGAATCAAAAAAATGACCCAGATATACCAATGGACTTAGAAAACGATTTTGAGAAAAAGTGGACATACAACTTTTGGCCTCTTACTTCTTAGCCATCGATATAAATAGTTAAAATTTAATATATAAACGATGTTTCTTATATATAAAATAAAATCAAAATACAGAATACAAAATTGCATTTTAAATAAATTTGATTGCCATTCCTTGATTCTATTACCTAATTATTTACGTACATTTCCCCCCCCCCCCCAAATATAATTTTTAAAATATTTTTTTTTGCTAAACATTAGTGTGCCATTAGTGTGAATTTGTGTGACTATTTTCAGAATTTGTGCGATACTGGTTTAACCGTAAATTCAAAAATATATATGGGGGGCTGGAAAAATGTTCCCCAGCCCCCCCTCATGGAAAAAATTACAATTTTTTAATTTTTCTTTTGCCAAACATTAGTGTGCCGTCTTCCAGGTAAGTAGAAACATTTAATTTTAACATTGGATCAAAATCAAAAATGTTCATATTCAGTAATAACCTATATTACTTTATATACACAGATATAAAATAAGACCTATATAGATTGCAGGCTTGTTTAGAAAAAAATTCACATTATTGTACTTTCGGTATAATTTTAAATATAACTTTCTTTTTTTTTTTTTTACAAATCGTTGTGGTAGGTCTTATTCAATTTAAATATGTAAATGTACAAACTATAGACAACACAATATTATATCAATGAATCAAAATAAGGTTTCTACAATTATGTACCTATGTAATTAATCTTTTTAATTTAAGCTAAATTAAAATAATGAATTCATAAATACTTTCTTGATGCTTAGTAAAAATAATTATATTTTGTGTAGTGGGTGAGTGGGCCTGTGTCAGAGTAAGTTAACGTGTGCCCGATCCACTCCCACCTCCTATATTGGCTATGCGCACCTTGCTCTCAACATTGTTTTTCCGATATAAATCTAACAACATCAATGCGTGGCCTGGCTTGCATTATATTGTTTGTAAGTTTATACATCCTTGATATGTCTAATATTTTCACAAAACTCATAGGTAAATATAGTGTTTTATTGAAGCTGTAAGGATTGGTTTCGTGTAGGTACTTGAAATTATTAAACATAATATTAACGTAATATTTGTATTCTCTATATTTTTCCTTTTACAATGAAAACAAATTTTTTATTATTGATAATATATGACACAACTTTAATTATATTGTATAAACTAAGAACTCACAGGGTACCGTTTTCGATTCATTTATTGGTTTTTTGTTTAGATCGTCAAATAACTACCAATTTTTATTTCCTCTTTTGACATATGCGTGGTAGTGTCCTATAGAATTTCTTAGTCCGACCTTTTTTTAAAACTTACAACGCCTCTAAGTTCATGTGTTCTTGAACCATATAGCAACAGTTGAGGGATTTCTGCTAATTTTATGTCTACGTGCGCTGCAGCCTCGATGACCGCTTCTCCTTAAATCAAATATTCAAAATAAGATTATTTTTAAAATCAAAAATGTGTTTCATTTTTATGAGTTAAATACTTGACTAGTTTAATACTAGTTAAATACATGACTAAAAACATAATTTACCTTCCCAGTATAGAATATCAATTATTATATGTATTCCGGATGTCTTAAATGTGGGTTTGTGACAAGGTAAGACTTATTTTTTCTCTGGCTTTTTGGATTCCACGATTCTACAGCTTTTCGTTCCTCGTTCAAGTTTTCATTTATTTTACAATAATTATTATTTACATACGTATCTTCCTCAAATATCCAACACGAGATACAAATTCTTACATTATCTTGGCCTGATGTACTTCTGGAACAAGTAGTTAGTGCGTGAACCGGTATCTTACAAACCACACATTTATGATCCCCACTTTCAAAAGGTAAGGAACCGGTAGAGCACAGAGGACAATCTAATTTGTCTGGAATTCTCAGATAATCGTTTTCATCACCTGAACTTATTATTATCATATCTACTTGGAAAGTTGATTTTTCTTCTTTAATTCATTTGGGGTATCTACTGTGCTGCCATCGTCAATTTCACAAGTTTTTTCATATCCGGTTTTCGTTGAATAGATGAGTGATACTCCATGTTGTTCCAAAAATTCTTCTATACTGACAGGTAATGTTATAGATTTAAATGTCAAGTTTTTAAGTTTTTTAAGACTGGATTCTACTCTGCAGAACTAGCAGTCTCTGATCCATACCCAAACATATAAACCATAATCCTAGACCATAACGGTAAGAGTTTCATGCATTTTATTAAAATGGGAATCAATGATTTGCAATACATTGCATTTATTCCATTTCCTTCATAAACAAATTTCTTACTTTTTTCAAAAATGGTTACAGCCCATTTCTGAAAGTGGTTATCTTCCGTTCGTTCATACACCAGTCCTTCTTCCATCCATGCTTTGTCACCATTCTCCGTTTCGTCATTAACTATAATTTATTCGAGTTCACTATCAATGATACCTAAAATATAAAAATGTGTGAGTACATTGAGTCATTGTTAGTTGAATAAATGTAATTTACCTGCTGACGTATACTCAATCAATTTTTTTTTATGTCTGTATGTAAACCTTAGCCCTTTTGAAAGTCAAAGTACAAGGCAATTCCGTATGTATCCAAAAATTTTCGGCAAGTACTGGTGTCCAATTTCCTTTTTGTAAAGCTAATTAAGTATGGTCGTGAACTCTGATGACTTTTTGTTAATTTATAAACATTTTCATTTGGTTGGATTTTTTGCCATTCGTCAGCCGATAAAGTAAATATGAAATTTTTTGATGGCATATCAAAATCATTTTCACTACTAAACTCTTCGTATTCATCTGAAGACAAATGTATTTAATTATTTTATTTTATTTTCATCATATCTCTGGTTCTAGTATCTAGATGTTTAACCTCGGAAACAAATCGTATTTTTAACTAATTTGTATATTGTAACCTCAAATTAACACAATTAAAAGTAGGAACTCAAAAAAAAAAATGGAAATATACAAACTAATATTAGTTAACAATTTAATTAAAATTTGGTGAAATGTTATAACTACTTATTTTTTTTTTTTATTAATTTAATAAGTATAATTAAGTTGAATATATCAAGGTATTATATTATAATGACTCCTTTGTGAAAACGAGTTTTTCATGAAAAAATGATTAAGTATTCCATGAAATCCGAAAATATTTCACAAATGAAGACTCCGATTTTCTACACCATGTGTACTGAAATCTGTCAACTCTGCCTTGAATAATTAGTGGTTTTAAAATAAAAAAAAAATATTCTGAGTATCAATGAAGACCAGCGGTTTTCAAAATTTTGATATCCACATTCCACGTACTACCTACACATTTTGAAAATGTTCATGTACCTACCACTTGACCAAATAACATTTTTTACGAATCAAAAATATAAGTATACGTTATTTTACATAGTGTATAGGATTTTATTTTATAGAGAACTACAAAATTATGATGATATAAGCATTCAATGCACAAAAAGAAAATTAAATATTTATGCATTATTAATTTTAATATGTCTGTTATTTTTTAAAATGTTGTACCTATATATTTGAAGTTTAAAAGAATTCTGATCAAAAGAAATTGCATTTTTTTTATTAACAAATCCAAAATGCCATAGTTTTCTGAACTTGTTTGGCTAGAACATTGTAAACTACTTATTGTTGATACTGAGAGTCAGCAATATCTAATAAAAAAAATATAATAAAAAATGTTAGGTATACCGTTTTATAAAAAAAATATAAGTACCTACTTACAAATTATGATACATTATTATTGGTCTTTTAAAATCTGCAGTTAATTAAGTAATATTAATAACTAACTAAAGTACTTTGTTCTGAAAATCCACTGCTTCTGGGCCCATAAAATAGTTTGCGAAGTAATCCCTTACACCAACACCTTGTGAACGAATCCCTCCTCCTTGGGTTTCAATGTCGTCAAAACTTTTGACTTCAGAATCTTCATAATTGATGCCATCTGTCTTACTGACAAAGTTGTGTAGAATACAACAAGCTTTGACAATTTCATCAGTAAAATCTGGCTCTACTTGAATCGATGTAAATATGTAATACACGCCATTTATTGGCAAGTACTCTAAATGCACATTCAACTGTGCGCCTTGCTCTCGATAACCTATAGTTAAATACTCAAGATTACGTCCCGGATAAGCCCTTAATAAATTTGTGTGTAAAGCGAAAGTTTCGTATCCAACAAACTCATAAGGCTGAGGCCACTGAGGGCTACTATTTATATTTGGTAGTATAATTGGTTCTGGAATATTCAATTTCTCGTCATATAATAGTGTACCAAATGGACACTCTTTAAAAACATTAGAATCTCCTCCACGGCCGTAAGATCCTACATCAATTGAAATAAAATTAAAATGTGCATCCACTACAGCCATCAATACTATCGTAAAGAATTTTTTGTAGTTGAAAAACAATGATCCCGAGTTGTCAAGATTTTTACATCTTATATATGTTTCCCATCTATTGCTCCGAGACAATTGGGGAAATTGGTTTTCAAATAAAAATCTCGATATTTCCACCCATTCGTCTGTAGTTGGTGCAGACATTTCTATTAAATGTAAATTGGTCCAAATCGCTTGACATGTTTCTCTTACAACCACTCTGATTGTACTTCTTCCAACACGAAAATCGAATTTTAGAGCCGAAAAGTACGTACCAGTCGATAAATATCTTGAAAAAAATTATTATAATATTAATAATAAATATCTGGTTAAGGTATAGCTTTTGGATTTTGATAAATGTTATCAAAATTCGAACTTTAAATGCTTATAAAAAAAATCGTGCCTATTTATAGAAAAAAAAACTAAAAGATTGAAATTTGAAATTGTCCGTAAACAGCTCATTATTTCATTATTTTAATGTACTATTCTAGTCAATGAAATGAAAACCAAATGGAGACATATACGGGACAATTATTCGAAGTTTATCAACCAGGCAAAAAGTGGTGATAGTGCTACAAAAAAAAAAAATATATCTATGCTGAATCACTTTCATTTTTACAGCACATAATTAAAAAAGAAGGTAATAATAAAATGTTTAGTATTCATAACTGTCTTAGTTAATTTCCTCATTTTAACTGTTTAACAGTATTTATAATTCAATGGCATATTTGATAAATTGTTATAAACAAATTTAGAACTTAGTGACATTACTATAGTTGATTACCATAGGTAGTTATACCACTGCTTTTATAATACACTTATAAAATCAATGGTTACATTTTTGATAAAAATATTCCTCAATTCCACTTATTAATTATTAGTTATTACAAATAAAAAAAAAATGAAAATATTATTATTATTAATTACCAAAAAATGTAACATTTTTTTTATGATTAAAGAATAAAAAGGAATCGTAATGCAATCTTATATTGTAGAACAACTGGCAATTTTAATGAACTTGAGCAAGATAACAATGGAGAAGAAACTGAAGAAGAAGAAGAGATTAAAATCACTGTGGGTGCAGATGAAATTGAAAGAAACGGGAACTCACCTGCTTCAACATTTCAAAAAAATAAAACTAGAACTTCAATCACAGAACTGAGGAGGAAAAAATGTAAGAAAAATAATATAACACAATTTCAGCAAGAATTATCAAGTGTTCTAAATAATCCTGAAGAAGAAAATAACTCTGATCCTGATAGGGCATTTTTAGTGTCTTTATTACCAGATTACAAAAGGTTAACATATGAACAAAAAACAGATTTTCGTATAATGAGTTAAATTAATGACCCTACAATATTTTAGACAAATTTCATTAAAAGCTAACCAATCTCGACCATTAAATGATGTGCATCATAATGCAACTTATCCCAGTATCTCAAAAGCACATTATACCTCACAACTAACCTTACCTATCTTGTCCACATATACATCATCTACATCAGATTCAACGTTAAAAGTACCACCTCCACAGGTTCAACATTCTATAGCATTCCCTCCATTACATTCTTCTGGGTCATATTATATATCTGCAGACCAAAATAATGCCAATACAATTTCCAATTATTACAAAAATTATCAATAATATCTTATCTGCTATTACCTATCTTAAGTTTTTTTTTTATTTTGCATAGGTACTAAAGTGGTTGTTTTTTTTTTTAATTTTTATTTGAAGTACTTACTACATTAAATTTGTTTTAATACTAAAGTATTTTGTTTTGCTACATAAAAAAGTACCTAAGGAGTATATTTTTAAATTTTATTTGATCCTATTACTTTTGTTTTAATATTTTTTGAACAGTTTTAAATTGTTAATAAGTATGAATAACATTTTGTTTAAAAAAATCCACTTAAGTATTTGATTTTTTTACATAAATAAATATCTAAAGTACCCAATAGGGTTCAAAATGTCCAGAAAAAAAACATTTTTCCATAAAACATCTTACAAACAAATGTGATTTTAACAAAACGGAGAAAAATTGTGGGGCCATTTAAAATTTTCAGAAAAATGGATTTCGAGGAAAAATTTTACAACTTAGTTCATAGTTGGTAGGTAAAGTTCATTAGACAATAAATTAAAAATAAATATAGAAAATAGTTGACAATTTAGAAAGTGTAATACCATCAGTTGATTTTAGATTCTGAGTATCTACTTAATGGATATTGTGATATGATTAATTTGGAATTTATTATAGGTACCTATTTTAGGTAATTTTTTTTTAATACGATAGATAAGTATATTATAATATGTCTTATGCCTAGACTGGACATACCGTCTCCGCTCAGAATCGTTTTTCTTATACAATGATATTATATCATTCAATTCAAATTTAATACCATCCATTATACAGTAACCCACTTGTAACCTACTGTACAGCAGAGTACCTTTTTCTCTTTTAAACTTTCCACTTCATTTTTATTATTAATTTTCCAAAAAATATTTTATTTTTTTTAATTATCCGAAAACTTCAGTTTTTTTGGTTATGGACCTAATATAATTTTAATATTCTTTTAATATCAATTTTCCATATTTTGGGGGCCCTGGGAAAAAAACTTGTTTTTTCCGAAATGTTCACGAATTTTCCAGCATCTTTAACCCTACATATTTTATTTTTACCTATTTACCAAATTTGTTACATGTTACAACATATTATTATATTAATTTGAGTTACAACGTGTTATTGTGTAATATTATTTAATATTTTTATATAGCCGCTAAACGCATGTTTAAATTTTAACTAACTTACCTCAAAGTAATTGTAAGCCGTTATTCAGCACAAATTGGATTACGAAATACCGTGGTGGTTTTAGTTTTATGTGTACGTAGAATTTCTAATAACTCATCAAAACTCGAAATTGACATGCGATAGTATTCGAATATTTTAGATTCTGAGTGAAACGATGAATGTATTGATTTTACAATGATGTGTGTTTTTTTATTTTTTTTTTTATTTTTTTTATTTTTTTATTTTTTTTTTTTATTTTTTTATTTTTTTTTGTGTCTGTCATCACGTTTTAGGACAGTAAAAGTGCTTGGATTTTCTTCATCAGTAGCTTTTCTGATAGGAAAGTGAATCTAGTTGGTACTTTGGGGGGTCAAAAGTATAAATTTCCCAGTAGTTTTCACAAGCGCCGGGAAAAAACAACATAAAAATTAAGGAAAAACGGGAATTTTTACGCAAAATTGGTTTTCCAAAAAATCGATTTTGGTTTTTGGTGTAACTCTGAAACAAATGAACGTATATACATGAAATTTTCACTGGTTGTTTATATTTGCATTTTCTATACACGATAACATTTTCAAAATATTTTGATTTATTTTGAACTGTTTAGGGACATTTTCATTTTCCATTTTTTTTTAGTTTTTTTTCTAAAAATATCAATAAAATTTTATTTGTTGGTTGCGAAAGCTTGAAAATTTAATAGAAGGCTCCTAATATATTGCTTCAAAGGCAGATGAAAAATATTAAAAATCCTTAGTCACAATTTTTTTTTATAAGCATTTAAAGTTCAAAAATTGACAAAATATGGGAAAATCACGAAAATTAGCAAATTATTTTGAGTTAAGAATTCGTAAAAATTTTTCTTTTTAAATCTAAGATTTGAAAATTAAACACAAGATTCCTTATAAGTTTGTCTACCTTTATCAAAAGAAAAATGTTTATAAGAAAGTCAAATTAAATTTTTATGAGCGTTTGAAATTCAAATTTTTACAACATTGAATATTCACTCGATTTCCCATGTAGCGATTTCCTTATTTTGTTGTAATTCAAAAACAAATAACTGTAGATACATGAAAATTTCACTGAATGTTTAAATTAGCATTTTCTATACACCATACAATTTTGAAAATATTTTGACTCTTTTTGAGCTGTTTATGGACATTTACAGCTTTCAATTTTTTTTAGTTTTTTTTTCTATAAATATCAATAAAGTTTTATCTGTTGGGCCAAAAAGTGTAAAAATTTAATACAAGGCTCCTGATATATTGTTATAATATCAGTTGAAAAATATTAAAAATACATAGGCACAGTTTTTTTTTATAAGCATTTAAAGATCAAATTTTGACAAAATTTATCAAAATCTCGAAAATTATCAATCATTGTAATTAATAAATTATAAAATGTTCAGTTTTTATAGCTAAGGATTGCAAATTCAACACAAAGGTTCTCGTAAATAGTTCATACTGTAACCAAAAAATCTAAAAAATATATGAACACAGTTATTTTTTACAGACATTTTAAATTCAAATTTGGACGAAATTACATATTAAAAAACCTAGAATAACTATTTTAGTTATTTTGTTGTGATTGAATAATATTATTCGTGGATACTTGAAACTTCTAAAGTGTACTATTATATATCTATGATAGTATCACGGTTTTTGTTGATGTATAACGCGTTATAAGTACCTAATGGATATTTTGATATGATTAATTTGGAATTTATTATAGGTACCCATTATAGGTCAATTTTTTGTTTAATACCATAGATATGTATATAATATGTCTTATACATAGACTGACATACCGTCTGCGCTCAGAATCGTTTTTCTTATACAATGATATTATATCGTTGAATTCAAATTTAATATCATCCATTATATAGTGACCCACTTGTAACCTACTGTACAGCAGAGCGACACCCACTTGCCCACCTTTTTTTGTTTATAACGCCTTATGTTTTCAAAAAAATCTTTGAAATGTCCCGTTTTTTCTCGTTTCACATTGAGAGGATGAACCCAGTACCTCCTTTCTGATTTAATTGTATACAATAAACCAAGTGCTTCAGCTACTGCAATGAATTTTACTTTTTTACGGTTCATACTAACCCGGTAAAAACTTATTTATTAACAAATAACAATTTACTGAAATGAACAAATTTTAATAATATGCTTACTTGGGTAGAATAGTCAAATTTTTAAATTTAATACGTTTGAATAATGTACAGACGCACTTAATAAATAAATCGCACTATGTTATTTTTGTATTTAAATATTTTATACTAAAGTAAGTATCACATTCAGAACTATGTTAGAGAAGTAAAGTAGTTCTAGATACTTTGGTTGGTACTTTCGATGCCACGTCCATCGCGTTATTGAAATA